TAGATCCACTTCTTTATTCTACTACAGTACACAGACTTGCAGAGCAGCATAGACTGCTTTATGCTTGTGCAGTATTTGTGACAAAAATGTTAATTGTATTCTATATGTTTCTGGTCACACTGCCAATTCATGTCATAAATCATATATAGTTGCCTTGGTGTCAGCAGCCAAGCCGTATCTCCCACGAGATCCATATTATTTACCTTTATTGCCTGTCTCAGCTCTACTCAGCTTGTCTTTCGCTTTCCTATAAATCAATTACTTGTTACCCAAGGCTAGGTTCTTCTATCCCTTTAAACAGTTGCATTTTTAACCATCCTAGAAGATAGTTTAGATTTCTCATCAGCTTTATGGAGAGTCTGTAACACATGAAGTGAAATGCTGAAAAGCTCTTCACTCTTCCGCTTCCATCACCTGTAGCTGATATTCAAATAATAATAATACTTTTATTACTTACCCTCATCTCCTTGTGCCTTGAAAAGGGTTACAACATAGCTAAAACACATCATCACTATAAACAATGCATAATACACATATTTCTACAAATATGTATATTAAAATAAAATATAATGAACATAAGATGAGAGTTTAAAATTCATGTGACTGGGTATGAGTAGGCCTGCCAGAATTTGTTTTAAATTCTGACAGCTTATTTAAGATGTTATTAAAATGTGGCCAAATATTTTAAAATTGATGGGGGCGGGGAGAATATATATATATATATATATATATATATATATATATATATATATACATATACACCGTATATTCCGGCATATAAGATGACTGGGTGTATAAGACGACCCCCAACTTTTCCAGTTAAAATATAGAGTTAAGATGACTCCCATGCATAAGACTACACCCGCATATAAGACGACCCCTGACTTTTGAGAAGATTTTCTTGGGTTAAAAAGTAGTCTTATATGCCAGAATATACTGTATATCAAAAAGTTAAATAAGTAAATAAATAATGCAACAGGTATAAAATAAATTTAAAGTTGAAATGATCCAATCTACAAGAACAGTTGTTTCTCCATGCTTTCAGTTTTGATATTTGATTATTTTATTATCCACGAATTTCATTAAAGATATCCTTTCTAGGAATCTATAGATCCTCCAGTGTGACTCTATGGTCACTTTCCTCCAGTCAGGCTTGAACAACATAGAGATTGCTAGCTAATTGTGATTCATTGGTGGATGTGGCCTAAAAATATTGGTTGCCAGGAGACAAAACGGGCCCATCCATAACTATAATACATTTTAGTTGCATACAGTAACAATATTAAAACTTCTATTATATTTTCAAGCTACTAAAAGGCCATTAACATTTTAACATATTGTGCAATGTTTAAGAAGGCTCACTTGCCATAGAACAAGCTGACATCCCGGTGAGTTCGGCACTGGTGAGATTTCTTGGGAATTTGACCATGGGGCAAGTTGAACTCAATTAGAGCTGCCCTAGCTATTCTCACTCAGGCCCTCTCTATACTGTCCTATAGCCCAGATTATCTGCTTCCAGATTTTCTGGCAGTGGAGAATCATATAATCCAGTTCAAATCAGATAATCTGGGATCAGATCCTGGGATACAGGGCAGTGTAGAAGGATCCTCAGCAATCAAATCCCATAGAAAAGGCAAGTAAGAAATGCAGTTTGGGTGTTGGATGCAATGCCTGATCTTTCTTCATAGCAGACAACACCTTGGCCAGATGAGACCCCAAATACACTGCCATATAGTGTGGTTCAATGCAATTAAACTGCATTCTGAAACTGCATTGTATGGCAGTATATATAGGACTGAGAGATCCTGCTTATTTATTTCGGGCATTTCTACGCCTCCCTTCTCACCCCCTGAGTCCCCCCTAGGGGGTGAAAAGGGCGGGGTAGAAATGCCCAAAATAAATAAATAAATAATAAATTGTATTGCCTTGTCATTTAGAAATGTATTTTGACTATCCCTATATTTAGGACTCACCTGGACTATCTCAATGCATCAAAGGTTTCCAATTCTTTTTGTTTTCATTATACTTGCAAATTTATAGGTTTGCATCCAGTTATCTCTTAAAATATGCCAAGCTTTTTTCTTTCTCTCATTCCCTTGTTCCCGTTCTCTGTCTCTTCCCACTGATCATGTGTCACAGCTATTGTCAACATTCAGAAACTAGTTTTTATTAATTTCCACTGAGTTGCTTTCTCCTTCTGGAGTCATAGTGAAAGTGCCAAGTGCTTTAGCAGTAATATGCAAATAAAGAATTAGGATCATTTTGGTTTAGTATGAAAATTTTCTTTCTCTTCTGGAAATAATACTGTGTGTATTGTATTCTTGTTATCATGTCCACGAGACTAGAAGTACACAGGCAAGTAAATCATGCATGCCATCCATAAAATGTTTCGGAAAGGAGAAACATTTGGACTCAGCAATTTTTTTTTGCATAGGAACCCGTGAGTGCCAGAGAGGTTTGGCTCATCTGGAGGTGGTCTTAGTTTTTCCCCAGGCCTCTGATAGATTCTTTCAGCTTTCAGAATGTAGATTGTTAACAAGCAATGTCAGATGTGGCTTAATACTGAGCAAAGCAATTTATGGCTTATGGCCACATGATGAGAAGAGTAAAGTGTGTCACAGAGTTCTCCTGTAGGTGGAACAGAGAACTCTCCTTCCAGAATACGTTAAAGAACTTAAATATGCCAAGAGGAAGCTTTCATATGGTACTGCTAAAGTATTTGTTTGTTTATATTTGAAATCTATAGTATTATTTCCAAACACAATATACTGTTCACAAAGTTCAGTGACAAGTTCTTTCAAGGGTCAGGACCTGTCTCTCCATACCACATTGTGCAGAAGGTTTGTTGGAAGCTCTATCCTGAAATTCCCAGGAGGAATAGGTAGGCTATTCCTATCCGTTGGGTAGACTAAATCCAAAGTTTTAGTATCTTCATCATTAACCTAAAACTACTCCTGAATTGCCTCTTTCATAATCTACTGAAGTCTACTGCTGGCAGAAAAATATATTGGCTGTGTATCTCACAGACATACTTTTCCATAGATGTAGTTGAAACTCATTGAGGTGGCAAGTCTCTAGTGGGAGCCCTGTTTGAATGCAACTTCTTTCTGTACCTCTGGGAGCTTATAGGTGATGACTCTGTTCCATATTTCACTCCAAACTTTAAAGGAACTAGCCAAGGTTCTGATCTTCTATTCTCCAAATAGTTCAACACCATGGCTATATCATTCCTTCAAAATTAAAATTTGTTGCAGATTGACTAATCACTGGTTTAATTACCTGTAGTACAAAAAAGGATTTTAGCATTTATACAAGTAAACAACATGAAGAACAAACTTTGGAAAATAAGAAAAAGCAATAGAACGGTTACTTATCTATTTAAAAGGAACACCACATGATGTTTTGCCTGCATAAGAAAAAAGTTATGCAGAAACCCCAAAAGGTCCTCAACTCCCCAATCCTGCTACTTAGACTTTTGAACAGAATGCAGATGAGTTCCTATCCTTTAGGTAGGAACTAATTGCCAGAAGTCACCCTTCAGCATGAAGTCTGCTTAGGCTTACTGCATAGGCTCACTGGTGGATTCTGAGGGTTCCCAAAAGCAACTTCTTAGGTTCAGTTATGAGCTACCCACACCAAAGCTATCCATTTCATTTTAAGTGATGCTACAGGGGTATAACAACTGATCAAACACATCTGATTTTTTTTTTTTGCAATTACATTTTGAAAACTTCCAACTCAAGAGCACATGTGAAATCAAAAATACTGGATGGAAAATCTCCATCTCTGATTACTATTTCACAATGTGCCTTTTTATCAACCTTGGGAGAGAGAACTCTGATTTATGGCTGTGTGCGGCTGATTCAAATCCATGTCACATGTTGAAATGTGAGAACTGAACAAATTCTGATTAAATTCACCTACTGATGTTAGTTGCTCCTTCTGCTTAACATAAGAAGGTGGCACAAGATGGATTGCGTGACTCCTAATGGAACACTATGCCAGAATAGATGTGTTCACATCATAATATATCCCTCACCTTATAACACACATGATTTTTCCAAAGGCTTAAACTTGAAAGGAAATTTGATTAAAGGTAGTAATTAATAAGTCTGGAAATACAGACAAGCTTGTTGCCAAGAGCCCCAGTCCCACCTAGACCCATTCCTAGTTCAGACAGATAGTATTTCATATCATCTCCTTGGGGAACACAAATCGTTTGGCATATTAGGTTTTTTCATGTACTAATGCAAATGGTTGTGTTTTTCAAGCAGAACAGAACAGTGTCATGTGGCTGCTGGAGCTTCCTTTAGTGAAGATATTTAATGTGTCATGCTTCAAATTTATGGTATAGACAGGAATGGTCAATTCATGGTTTATAGTCTTCATCTGTGGAACCTCTCCACTTTTGTCTATAATGAATATATTATTTCTCATTTCCGATTCCACCCTAACACAACAAGAAAAGCTGGCATGATTTCATGTCCGCAAGCAGTGCCAGTGTGCAATATGTGATTTGGAATAAATTCACATGCCCCTTATCTGTACAAAAGTGGGGTATAGCTGATGGTAGATGGTACACCTAGCAACTGAGGACTTCTTAGCATCTACTGACAAAGATGCATGAAGCTATGTTGCTCTTTTAAGGAAAATATCGCCAGAATAAGAACAGAAACTGGCAAACCAAAATGTACATACAATTATACATATTTACAAACAGTTAGGCTTGGAGGCTTGGAAGGTTGCTACTTCCAAAAAAATTATTGTTATTTATTTATTTATTTGCAGTATTTGTATACCGCCCTTCTCAACCCCAAAGGGGACTCAGGGCAGTTCACAGTATTGGCAACAATTCAATGCCATAGATAAAAAACAGTATAAAACATCAAAATTGACCCTCCCCTGATAAAACATCAAACATTATTGAACACATCACATAAAATAACATCACATATCACACAAAGACATAGCTGGAACATTTATTTATTTATTTACAGTATTTATAAACTCAAGCCATACTACATAGGAAAACAGCCACTTTGTAATTAATTTGATGCCAAAATTACTTTGGGGTGTATTATTTTAGGGTGTGGATTTATGCAGATATACGTCCTCATTTTTAAAGCATTTTGTTATCATTTTATTACTAGCTTCATTCAGTCTTGGAAACCCAATGAGTAATCTTGGCTGAATCGCACATTTTCAGTTTCAGAAACCCCCAAAACTCTGTGACAGGTTCACCATAGGTTTGCCATAAGTCAGAAACAAATTGAAGACACAACAATAAAACAGCAAAAATTTGAAATTTGTGGTCTCCATGAATGTTTGTTTCATTGTAAGTGAAGAGTTTGACAAATTTATTTTTTTAGATTGTAAAACCCAGAACCTTTCAATCTTTGCCCAGAGATGGTTGAAGAATCCTAAAGTTCTAGTTAAAAAGTAACTTTCCCTGTTGCTTCAGCCCCAAAAGGCTATGGTTTGGAGAAGGGTTCAGACAGGATAAATCCATCCCAATCGTCGTTGGTCCTTCCACCATTTGATGAGACAGAAAGAGGATGCCAATTTGCAAACCTGCTCTCGAAAGTCTTCTCCAGACATGAAACAAAAAAGAGGGTTGATGCAGGTATTCAGACTGCAGATGGCCACCATGATCAGGAATAAGGTGTCTGCCTGTTGAATGGTCCAAGTAGCGGTAGGCCAGATGGCCCGTAAGAAGATGCAGGTGTTCCTTGAGAGATGATAAGGGAAGTAGAGCACAGCAAACGCAATCAAAGCAGAGTACATGAGCTTGGTGACTTTCCCCCTTTTCGGACAGTGTTGTATGCCACTCCCCTGGAGTTTCCTCACACTGCTACAGTAACAGTAACAGATGGCTCCAAAAGGCAGCAAGCACCCACCAATAGAACAGCTCACTGAGAGAGGGAGGGTGATGTAGGTAGAATTGGAAAATACATAGAGGGAACAAATGGTTTTGTTGTTCAGGCATGTCTGAGTGCTGGCAATATATGTAACAGGTAGGCTGACCAATCCAGTCACCATCCAAATGCAACAAGAAATCCACTGAGCGTGATGCTTGTTTAAGATCCAAAGAGACCTCAGAGGATGGACTATGGCCAAGTAGCGGTCCATGCTTAGACAGGTGACAAAGTAGATGCTGCAGTAGTAGAACAGGTGATAGGCTGTCCGTATCACTTTGCAAAATGAATCCCCAAAGGGCCAGCGCAGGTGGTTGAGATGATAATAAATCAGGAAGGGAAGAGTTAAGATCCACGTGATATCAGCAAAAACCAGGTTGCAGAGGAAAACAGTGCTCCTATTCCAATGCTTCATGCGGAAAGTGAGGATCCAGATAATGGGGATGTTTAACAACAGACCCATGACCAAAATGAAGAGAAAAGTTCCAGGGATGAGAGTCCTTTGGATGATATCTAGGAGGGTATCAGGGCTTCCACAAAAGTCTGCTTCTGCTTTCTATGCAAGATAGAAATGAAAGGAAAATGGGGCACATGTTTTACTTTACAGAATACCTTAAAATTGTAGAGAAGAAATGGTTGCAGTCTTAAAACGTAGACATAAGATTTAGCTCTCTTTCAGAAAGCACTGGTTCATATATGAGCAATCCCCAAGTTACAAACAAGATAGGTTCTATAGGTTTGTTCTTAAACTGAATTTGTTTGTAAGTCGGTACAGGTACATTTTTAAAGTGTAACACCAGCCATATATATATATACTCTCACTCTCTCTCTCTCTCTCTCCACACACACACACACAGAGAGAGAGAGAGAGAGAGAGGGAGAAAGAAAGAAAGAATAGGATTCCTGCCAGTGTCTAGCCCAAGAAATCCTTTCACTAGTAGGATTTCTTGGGCTAGAATTTGTACTCAACTCTCACTGTAATAACTAACATTAGCCCAAACAGTAACTAATTGTAGTCTCAAACAGCCTCCATGATTATACGAACTGCAAAACTAGTTTGAATCTATTCTGTCAAAAGCAGCCCTCAAATATTCTTACCTGGCCAGATGCATGTTCCATTCTGCTTACATGTAATGCACTGATATAATAGAGCTGTTTGTACCTTTACTCATTCATGTTCTCAAATGATTGGCCAACCTCCTGAAATGACAGATGTATGAGAAATGTTGCTGCTATTATGTTTAGGAGCACGTGGGAAAGAAGGGAGGGAGGGTGTTTGATTAGGTTGCGGGGCAAATCTGGAGCTGTTTTGGTTTCCCAGAAGTAGTAATCTATTGAAACGTCTGCTTCTTCACTAGATTGCTTCTGCTACTGCTTGACAGAGATTTTTTTTAAAAGAATGGGAAAAGAAGGGGAGCTCATTTCAAGAAACTTTGCACATGCCAGTTTCTCTTTTAAATACAGACAGTCCCTGATTACAAACATCTGACTTAGAAATGATTCATAGTTAAGAACAAACCTGCAGAATCTATCTTGTCCATAACTTGGGAACTTCCTGTACTTACATTTTAGATCATTTCTTTCATATTGCAGGAGATCCAAATTGTTTTGGGATGCTTCCACAAGGATGGTTCTTGCTCTACCAACTGAACTTTTTTTTTCAGTATGAAAATTAATTTTTGGAGATAAGGATAGTAAGAAAAAATATTTAAAAGACATCGGAGGAAACTAGAGAAAGTTAAAAGCATTAGTTTGATTATATAGGTTAAGCCAGACTAGAATGAAACAATTGAAATGATTGTTGAAAGTTGAACCAATATGAAGGTAAATCACAACTGATCTATTTTGGTTGGAACCAAAAACAGGATACAGGCTCTTGCCTCAACCACCTTTGAATTCCATGATATCATAGTTGTGCTGTTGTTATTGTTGTTTCTGTTGTGTGCTTTCAAGCTGATTCCAACATATGGTAATACTAGTTTAGGATTTTATCTGCCATGTAAGGTTGGCCAATGTCAATATGTTTGCAAATGGTCAGTGCCTACACTGAAAGATTTGTAACATGTCCAAGGTGATCTAGCATGTTTCATTAGCTGACCCTAGACTCCTGGTGTCCTAGTTTAATAAAATAGGGAAGCTGTGTAATAAAAAAAATCATTCTAGAAACACACTTACAATCAGGCCATTGACTTCACAAATATGCTTTGGATTTATTTATCGTGTCAGGGGCAGACCAGACAGTTGCATTGCATTTTTAAACAAACAAACAAACCACAAAGTTTGCAAGTTTGGTAGTTGATTAAATGTCCTTTGACCAGTATCTGGCCACTTGGAGTGCCTCTGGTGTTGCTGAAAGAAGGTCCTCCATTGTGCATGTAGCGGGGCTCAGGTTGCATTGCAGCAGGTGGTCAGTGGTTTGCTCTTCTCCACACTCGCATGTTGTGGATTTCACTTTGTAGCCCCATTTCTTGAGGTTGGCTCTGCATCTCGTGGTGCCAGAGTGCAGTCTGTTCAGCGCCTTCCAAGTTGCCCAGTTTTCTGTGTGCCCAGGGGGGAGTCTCTCATTTGGTATCAGCCATTGATTGAGGTTCTGGGTTTGAGCCTGCCACTTTTGGACTCTCGCTTGCTGAGGTGTTCCAGCGAGTGTCTCTGTAGATCTTAGAAAACTATTTCTTGATTTAAGTCATTGACGTGCTGGCTGATATCCAAACAAGGGATGAGCTGGAGATGTCACTGCCTTGGTCCTTTCACTATTGATTGCTACTTCCCGGATGTCAGGTGGTGCAATACTGGCTAAACAGTGTAATTTCTCCAGTGGTGTAGGGCAGACACCACATGATAATGCGGCATGTCTCATTAAAAGTCACATCCACTGTTTAGCTGGGTGAGATGTTTTCCACACTGGGCATGCATACTCAGCAGCAAAATAGCATAGCGCAAGGTCAGATGTCTTCACTGTGTCTGGTTGTGATCCCCAGGTTGTGCCAGTCAGCTTTCGTATGATATGGTTTCTAGCACCCACTTTTTGCTTGATATTCAGGCAGTGCTTCTTGTAGGTCAGAGCATGGTCCAGAGTGACTCCCAGGTATTTGGGTGTGCTGCAATGCTCCAGTGGGATTCCTTCCCAGGTAATCCTCAGAGCTCGGGATGCTTGTCTGTTCTTAAGGTGAAAGGCACATGTCTGTGTTTTAGATGGATTCGGGATCAGCTGGTTTTCCCTGTAATAGGCAGTAAGAGCACCTAGAGCTTCAGAGAGCTTCTGTTCAACCATCTCAAAGCTCCCTGCTTGAGCAGTAATGGCACGATCATCAGCATAGATGAAACTCTCTGTCCCTTCTGGCAGTGGCTGGTCATTTGTGTAAATGTTGAACATGGATGGAGCAAGCACGCTCCCCTGAGGCAGGCCATTCTTCTGTTTCCGCCATCTGCCTCTCTGGCCCTGGAACTCAACGAAAAAGCTCCTGTTTTGTAGCAGATTTCCTATGAGGTGAGTGAGGTGGTAGTCCTTTGTGATATTATACATTTTTCTCAGGAGGAGGCGGTGGTTTACAGTATCATAAGCTGCTGACAGAGGTGATGGTGATGTTATTAAGATCTACTGCTATAACCTCTATATTGTTTTCTTCAGTGTTGTGGGCACTGCTGACTTGGAGGCCTGGTTTTACAAAGACAGTGCTTCCATACTGCACATGTGGTCTTTCCGCTACTAAGACCATTCCTGGAATTTTGGTCATTTCTGTTGTTCATCCCTGTGTGTTTCTTGGACACACAGCACATCACATTTCTTATCTTGGCACAGTTCATAAAGCAGTTGTTCTTTGGCAGCTGACATGCCTTCGATGTTGATTGAGATTATTGTAATGGTTGGTCCTGAAAAGGTCAGTTGGTTCTTTTGCTTACTTGTTTGCTTGCACGCTGCAAGTCGCTTCTGGAGTGAGAGAATCAGCCATCTACAAAGACGTTGCCCAGGGGACGCCCGGATGTCTTGCAGTCCTGTGAGGAGGCTTCTCTCATGTCCCCCTATGCTTTGGATGCAAGATGGAAAGCGTTTTACAGAAAGTAAAAGGCAGGAACATCTTTAATCATTGCAAAGTTCACTTCAGTAAATGAAGCCATTATTTTTATCCATTGCTATTGGAGCAATCCATATTTCTTAAGTTACTACCAGCAAACATGAAGTGGAAGATGACCCTCCTCCTCTCCTGGTTAGGTCCACTCTGTGACTCTCCAGCCTGTCACTTAACATTAAATACAATTGACATGAAATCATAGGAATTAGATTACTTTTAGTGTGTGGGCCTATGTGAGAGATGAAAAAAGTCAATTTCTTGGCAATTGGGAAAAATTCTGCAGTGCAAGGGAATCATGTCAAAGTTCTGGGAAGCACCATATTCTCCCATATGAACCTGCCTGCATTTTGTTACCTTTGAGGATGACCTTTCTCTATATCCCACTACTCTCAGTCTTTTTTAGAAGTTTATTTGGTGCATACATACATCTTGGCACAGTTCATAAAGCAGTTGTTCTTTGGCAGCTGACATGCCTTCAATGTTGATTGAGATTATTGTAATGGTTGGTCCTGAAAAGGTCCATTGGTTGTTTTGCTTGCTTGCTTGCTTGCTTGCATGATGGCTAAGGCTCTGGAATTCTCTTCATAGAATGGGTAACTGGCATTGCCCCTTAACCCCTGAAATAACGAGACAGACAACAAGGTATGGATTCAAATTGGGCAACTTTTATTGAA